TAGCGGAGATTGCCGTGGCCTTGGGGTTCGCGTTTGAGGGAACCAGCCTGTCAGATCAAGACGAAGGACAGCGCCCGTAGGGAGGCGACTGCAAAAGTCACCGGCAGGACGTGCTCCAACCCAATGTCAACTTGGGAAAATGTGTGCATTTCAGAGGTTTTTCCTTTCAAAGCTGCAGGAGTAGGCAGTAGGGCATCCATGGACTTCACTCTGAAATTAAGCTTGAAACATACCGCTTCATTTGGGATCCCAAAGTGACAGATGCCATATGCTCATTTGCATTAAATAAGATGCATGCGACAGAGGAGGGCAGGCACTGCACGTCTCCCTGCCTGGCTTCCAGCATGGCTGGCACAGTTACGAGGTGCCGCTGACAGTGTATCAGTGGGTTCACATAGCACGTGCTGGCAATTAGGGCTGCTCACAGCAGACACAACTCGGAAGGGGTTTGTGTCCTACTTTGTATTGTTCTCAGGCCAGCCAGGCCACACTGGATCATTGTGCTGCTCCCAGGTTTTGCCCCACTTTTGAGAATGATGCAGGAGCTACCCCTGCAGAAGAGGTTACTGTCTAGCTGTATTCTTCCTCTTTGTGTCTGTTCAACACAGAGAAAGGTATGTCCCATGGTTTTTAAAGACTTAGATCTTGAGACAGCCTGCCTCGTTAAGTTAATTTGGAAAAATGGGGAAAGTTTCTGTCCTTTCTAACAGTAAATAATTTATTACGGCACATTGCTTCTTTGAGACTTATCTCTACACAAATGTGCACTGGTGTAATCAAAATACTACAAAGTATTGTGTGGACTTCTTTTCCCAAATTAGAAATAGTTTCTTGTTGTTCAATTTAAATGTATTGCTAATCAATTTTAGATACACTAAAGTAGTCCTGGTTGGAATGAACATGAAAGGGTGCATGTGGATTTTTGCACCAGTCTTATTTACACTGATTTAAAAAAAAAATAATCATACCTCAGATGCTTTCTGTTTAATGTAGGCAAGACATAGGGCATCATGATCCTTTTCAAACTACAGATGGAGTTATCACGGCTTCATGGCTTGAAGCACAGAAGGACTGTCTTCTCAGAATTATCACTCCTGAATAGTTATTTTGCAGTTCTGCTATAGGAAAGTAATAATTGCACACTTCACAGAACAGGCTCGTTCTTGATGGAAGCATGAGTTTACTTGATTTTTCTTTTTCTTTCTCCAGAAATTTAAAAGGAAGTTTATCCAAGGAAGTGCCTATTTTCTGAATTCATCAGTGCAAAGGATTTTTCTCTAGTGAATAATAATCTACTTTTAAGAAGAGCTTTTGCGTTACAGTGTCTCCCTTTATCTACCTCTGTTCCAGTTTCCCTTTTCAGAAAGTTGGTATCCTCATTGCTCGTTATCTATGTACTACTCTAGTCTTACTGACTTATTATGGAAAACTTACAGATATTATCATTTATTTTCATGCCTCAGGCTGTTTCTGGGCATCTTTCCCAAGTCTGTATAAGTGCTTTTAGGAGAAATGTACCATTTTGTTGTCTGTTATTACTACAGGATTTATCTTTAACTGTTTGTCAAAAGCTTAAACTGTCCCTGAGCATAAATGTGACCTTTCAAGGTAGGCTTTGCTCCTGGCATTCTCTCTGGCATTGCAGTTCGTCCACACAAGAGGAATGCTATATATTTCCCTGCCACACACAATTGTTATGTATCATCACTCATTTTGTTTTATAGCTCCCAAAGTGATTTAGAGAAAAATTAGAAAGCTATGGCCTGAACTTGGCCTGAAGTATGAGCCTGCTACAAAACGTGAAATAAAATAAGTGTTGTACAGTCTGTCTTTTGTGGCTGCACTGGCATTTGACAGTAGGAAAACAAGTAGGTGGGAATCAAAATGGTAGCTTTTCTGCCTCAGCAACCTGTAAAGAGCAGGTTCTTCATCTGATCTGAATTTCCACTCTCTTCATTTATATCAGCAACATAGGTCTGATTTATTATTTAGAGTTATCTATAACAGGATAAGTTATAAATGTTAATCTTATTTGCTTTTTAAGATGATTGATTAAACTGCATTAAGCAATCTATGGATGTTCTTACTCAGCTTTTTAGTAGCCTTATTTCAAATTAACTAAATTCTCTTTGAAAGTGAAATGCGTGTTTAAGCCTATGATTTTTATGGTTAATACGAAATAACTCATTGTTGCAGGAAGTACTCCATCTCAAAGAAAGGGGTATATTCACTCTTGGATTGTTAAGAACTTTATATTTTTAAGTTTTGGGAAATTTTTCTTCTATGTCTAGGAAAAGTAACTGTTCTGTGTTTCTTTTTGAAAGCAATCTAAGTTTTCTAAGGCAAACTATATTTGTGTTGCAGGATAAGACCAGGAATTGCCTGAATGGTGGAACAATCAACTATTCCATGCATCGCTCTGCTGATGGAGTCTGTACTTTCTTGTTTGTATTTTTTTTTCTCCTTTTTATTCTGAAGACAAATGGCTGCTTCCTAGAGATCCATTCATGCACTTTGTTTTCTGTGTTTTGTTGATTTCATTTTCTGAAGGGACTTTTTTTTAATTGGTCACAGAAGTAAAAACTTTTCATGAGCATGAATGAAATTTCAGGACAGAGGTTCCTATCGGTGAAATCTCTTGAATTTTGGGTATTCCAGTAGAACAGAAGAAGAAATTATGTCTCTTCTATGTTTGTTATGTCAGCACACATTTCTACAAGACCAAAGGGCACTTAGAGCTATAATGCACAGTCTCCAAATAATGTTCCTACTTCTAACTGTCTCCGTTTGAGTTGACTGTTTTCACAGTGTACACTATGGCAGAGGCTGGAGTTTGGACTTCTATACCGCTTCCATTTCTATCCAATTTTGTTTTTTTTAAATAGTTCTCTATATATTTTTGAGTCAGCTCGAGCCCAGCCACTGTTCAAATGAAAGCCTGTTTGCCTGTCCACTGCTGTCATGAGCCTGTACAGAAAAGTTGTATCTCCTTTAATAAAGAAGAGTCTGTCTTTTTTGTAGGGACAGAAGATTCACTTAGTAACATTTTCTGGTCTGGGTTTCATCTTTTCCCCTGCATTGTTAATATTTTTGGGGTAGAAATCAAAGCCTTAGTGGGGGAAGGGTTATTTTGTTGTCCATAATTTTCCAACCCTTTTTTCCTGCTGGAAATTGCCCATAAAATGAGATCTGTCACCTCATTCTCAATAATTTATTGGTATTTTAGTCACACTGAATTTCCATGGCACGTAAAAGGATCCTTTTGCTGTGAATTGTCAATAAAAAAGATTCACCTGGGTTTGAAACTTTAATCTAAATAGATTGGGCAAAACAAAGATGGGGAGCAAGAAGGGATTTAGGTTGGGTATATCTCAACCTAAGAAAGAGAGAGAGAGAGATATCTATTTCCAAAGGACTCTGTACGTTGTACTGCCATCATTGGATAGGTGTGGAAGGTAGGTGGAATAAGTAACCTTATGCACATCTTTCTGCAGAAACTGAAGAGGAGCTTTGATGACTAGTTTAGACCAGATACTTCAGTGTTAGGTGATTAAAGGTGACTCTTGCTTGGTGAAGACCACTCCAAGGAGTCATAGCAGGGCTAAAAGCAAACCTCGATCTCCTGATTTGGATTCAGTATCAACATTTCAAAGCCATCCTATTTCTAAACATGCTCACCTATTCCACCTTCCCTATTCTTTAGTGTAAGTAGATGTATGTATATATGTATTTTGTGTACTATAGATATATATAGATATAAATATATATATATATACACACATACACACATGCACTTTCTATACAAGCTACTGTTGCTGTTCCACTCCTGGGACTGTTCTGCCAATTTGTATCATGCTTTTCTAATGTATAAGCTCTAGGCTGGAATGGAAGAAACTGATTTTCATTCATGACCCAAACTAATATTTGAACTTACATTTTTCAGGGGTGAAAGGCTAATTCCATAATCCCACATAACCCTTTGACTAATCCTTTTTAAGATGGAAAACAGAGCCACAAGAAAATAATTGGTTTATATTATTAAAGGGAGCTGCCACAATCCCTTGTTCATGTAGCATTCAGGTGCTGTTATCTCTGTCCTTCAGCTTGTTTTTGCAGGCAGCTGCTAGTTTTGTCACAGCCAGAAGGCCAAGATGGGCTCGGGAGGGAGCGTTGCACTGGCAATCAGGAGGTTCTGAAGTCCTAGTGGTGGCTGTCCCATGGATTTGCCACAGCACTGGGGCCAACTAACTTCATTTCTTTGTCTCTTTTGTTGCATTGAAATGAGGCTAAGGAAACTCTGTTATGTACTTCTTGGGAGGGAATTGAGAGTTAATTAGTTAATGATTTAAAATATAATTTTGCTATGCAGCTTATTGGCTTTTGTTTAAGTTAATGCAAAGCTGTCATGGATGGCCTAAGCTGCATAAAAAAACAGCCTGTAGTTACTCTGCCAGCAGTAACAGATGGTCTGCTTCACGGAGTTGACCATGAGCTCAACACAAGCTGAAATTTGGAACCAGGGAATAATTGGGTTTGGTGAATCAAATGAGTTCGCAACTTAAATACAACTTTTTAATAAAGAAAGGGGTCAAATTTCATTCTTCACCATCACTTTCCACCAGTGTTGTCCCAAAGACGTATGAACTGTGCTGTCTTGAGCTCTGTCACGGTGTCAAGGTATCACCTGAGATCAGTCAGGTGGCTGGCACAATATGCTCAAGACACAGAGTTACAA